GATAATCATCTCAAGACATCTTTGGCTAGTTTGCTAAATATCCCGTCATTTGTTTGTTGCAGCTTCACCAGCCCGAAGATTGCACTATGCTCGAACGCTGAGCAAAATATCTAGAGCTAATTTCTCGAGCTAATTTCTCGAGCTAATTTCTCAAGCTCAAGTTTCGAGTTTCAGGGTAGAGTCTCGAGCTGATGAAGACGCAATTGGTAACTTCAGGTTTATTTCCCAAATCAGAAATAGCGGGCTATTTAGCAATCTCGGGCTGATGAGGACAGGCCTATTGTATCAAAGATTTGCTGCAGACCAAATTGAATTGAACGCTTGCGTACCTGCTGCTGATGGATGGAAGTACTCTGGCATTTCAGGATTACTTCATGGATTTTGTCATTATTTGCAGTGTCAAGCATTTTAAAGCCCCTCTGCAATAGTTTGGCCAGGAGGGATTAGACCTCCCTGCATGGTCACTGACAGGTGGTTATCTCATCAAATCGGCTCTCAATTAACATAAGAAAAAAGGGAGCATGGGGGACCAATAGTCACCGCTTTAATAAGCATTGTTTGCTATGTACCGTGTGAGTTAAAAAAAAAAACTGTGTTGGATTGGCAGTTTACAGTAGATAATATATCGCAAAGATACCAGGACGACATGCACTTCAGTTACATACAAATTATCAGAGCTCCACACTTACTTCTTTGGGAAGGGGGTCTGGATTGAACATTTTACAGTCTGTAGGCATGAGCTCTATGTAAAACTCCAAGATTTGGTGGTCTGGACTAGGCCTGACTAGGCCAGAGTCATCAGGGTTTTCCTAGAGACCGGTTGGACCCCAAGGGCCTGGTAAAAAATATGAGGCAATAATATGGATTTTGCATTGAATTTATACATCACAAAAATTTGGCTCAAGCAGGTCAGAAAGGTGGCTAATATTTCACTTTTTATGCAGGGTGAAATGCCATGATACATTTCATTCTCCAATAGAATAGGATTCTTTTGTTAAGATTATCTATTGTTGAATACTGTTTTTAAAACCATAGTTTTTTGTCTCGCCTGCGTAGCAAAAAAGTGAGACATAGGCGCCGCTTTTTCGGTGACGGCGGCGACGGCGGCGGCGAAGGCGGCGGCGAAGGCGTCAACATCAAAAACTTAACCTAAAGTTAGGTTTTTGAATTTTTGATATAATTTTGAAAGTATAATTCCTTAGTCAATGAAACTTGGGCTATAGGGTAATCAAGTATCCCCAATCATGTGAGCAGAATTCAGGTCACTAAGTTAAGGTCAAAGGTCATTTTAGGTCAACAAACTTAGACTTTTTGTGGCATCAACATCAAGATTTTGAATTTTTAGCATATTTTCAAAAGTGTTTTGTTCAAATTCCATGAAACTTGTACCCAAGGGTTATCAAGTATCACAAGTCATATGACACAAATTCCAGGTCACAAGGTCAAAGGTCATTTTAGGTCAGTAGACTTGGATTATGTTTTCACAACTTAATATGAGAATAAATGCATCAATTTTTATTATGCCTCCGCCACCGAAGGTGGTGCCGGAGGCATCATGTTTTCGGGTTGTCCGTCCGTACGTCGTACCGTCCGTACGTCCGTCCGTCCGTCCGTACGTCCCGTTTGACCGTTATCACAATATCTCAAGAACCATTTAAGATTTAAACTTAAGACTCGGAAATAGTATTTATCACCATAGGAAGACGATCTGATTAGATTTTGGAGTACGTAGGTCAAAGGTCACAGGTCACAGAGGCCAACTTATGAAATTCCTTGTATTGAGTTTGTTAGCGCGATATCTCAAGAACCATTCGAGATTTACACTTCAAACTTAAGGATAGTATGTATCACCATAGGAAGACGATCTGATTAGATTTTGGAGCACGTATGTCAAAGGTCAAGGGTCACAGAGGTCAACTTATCAAATTCCATACATTGAGATTGTTATCATGATATCTCAAGAACCACTGGAGATTTAAACTTCAAACTTAGTGATAGTGTGTATCACTATAGGAAAACAATCTGATTACATTTTGGGTCACGAGGTCAAAGGTCAAAGGTCACAGGGCTCATTATGTATGCAAAAACAGCTTGTGATCGCGTTATCTGAAGAACCGATTGATGGATTCCTGCCAAACTTTGGTCATGTATGTACAGTATCTTGCAGAGCTGATGAACTGATTAGATTTTGGGGTCACGAGGTCAAAGGTCACAGGGCTCATTATGTATGCAAAAACAGCTTGTGATCGCGTTATCTGAAGAACCGATTTGATGGATTCCTGCCAAACTTTGGTCATGTATGTATCTTGCAAAGCCAATGAACTGATTAGATTTTGGGGTCACGAGGTCAAAGGTCACAGCGCACATTGTGTATGCAAAAACAGCTCGTGATCGCCTTATCTCAAGAACCGATCGATGGATTCCTGCCAAACTTAGGTCATGTATGTTACTTGCAGAGCTGATGAACTGATTAGATTTTGGGGTCATGGGGTAAAGGTCAAGGTCATGCGGCTCATTATGTATGCAAAAATAGCTTGTGATCGTATTATCATTAGAACAGATTGATGGATTCCTGCCAAACTTAGATCATTTATGTATCTTGCAGAGCCAATGAATGGTTCATAAGATCAAAGGTCATGGGCTCATTATGTATGCAAAAATAGCTTGTGGACGCATTCTCATTAGAACTGACAGATGGATTACTATTTAACTCAGGAAATCTTGCAGAGCCAATGAACTGAGTAGATTTTAGGGTCATGAGGTCAAAGATCAAAGGGTCATATATGTATATGAGAAATTGCTTGTAATCACGATATTCTGAGAACATGTTAATGGATTACAATTGAACTTGAATTTGAAAAATTTCTTCCGTTTCGGTTTGTAAAATTGCTCTATGACGGAGGCATCATTTTCGACTGCGCGCAGTCGAATTCCATCTAGTTCTTATTTGTTCATGATTCTTAATCAATATTTACTTCAAAATGCTGATTATATTCAGAGAATTTCATTTTTGGGGGCCTGCTAATGGGCCACCCTGCCTATAAATAATGTTCCAACCTCAATTTTTTCATCATATCGATTGCGTAATGCAGGCGAGACCGCCGAGATCGTTTCCCTTGTTTTCATGATGACGTAAAGTGTTATATGCGTCACATTTTTAAAACTTATAATGCAGAGCTAAGTGAATATAAGCTGTTGCCTTTCATTTTTACACCTAAAAAAATGCAGCAGCAGCTTTTTTGCGGCAGTTTACCACTTCTTATCCGAGCCATAAAACTGTCCATTGGGTGCATCAATTAGTCTCTTTGAGTAGTCATTCCATGCCTTATACATGTGTACATGATCCTAATGAAAGTATGAAAGAAAAAATTTGCCAATGTCCAAGGAGGCAGACTTTGATCATCATCACCATCATCATTTGACATTTTTGGAAATTCATCATAATTCTACAAAAAAACTCAATCCATCTTATGACTCACTGCGAGCAAACACAAATCCCTCTTGAGAACCGTCCTGCTTTGTCCCCCCCCCCCCTCTCGTACCCACCAGACCATCGGACAGACGTGATGGATGGTGAGTACTCCTTCTCCTTCCTGTCATGTTGAATTGACACTGGAATGAGACATAGGGGCGGGGTGGTGCAATTTGATACTTCAGCGCGGTAATTTCCCCCATTCACAGAGCTCCAAGGTGTATTCAGCATGACACTGTGTTATATCATGCATGCGCTCACGTGTGCTTCATAATGTTTTAAAAAATCTGCTTTATTCCCAAGATGGCAGACGAGAGTATGTGGTGTAATTCATAGCTGAGTTTTAATCCTTTGATAATAAGCATCTCAAGTATGACTCACACGAAGCGAGTATCGAGAAGCCTGAATCTATGGATGATATGATCTGATAACATGGGTGGAAGGAGGGATTATAATCACGATTCATGTACGGATTCAATTAATGAGTTTCTTCAGAAATAATCAAGAGAGTATGAATACATACTGATACAATCTGTGATCAACATTGAAGTTCTCATTGTGATAAGATCATGTAACAGACTCTTGTATTTCCATTTTGGCTGTTTTATAACTGTACCAGGTTTAAATACAGAAATACACCTGTGTGTTACTTCCTTCCATGTTGCTCTTTCCTTACTTAGAGTTGAAAGAAAGATAGCCCTGAGAGTTTTAGGAAAATCAGCATTGAGAATAATAAGAATAAGATTAACAGTACCACAACATAAATATACTCCCAAATTATTGATAAAATGAACAGAGGAATTTGTAAGGAATTGCATTATTGTTGCCATGCCATCCCAGTAAATTTAGCTCTGTACTGAATTTTTGGAATGGTTCTTTTTTTCAACATAAACTTTCAAAACATAGAGGTGATGTGGTCCAGTGGGTAAGTCACTAGACTGTTAATCACAAGACAAAGGGATCAAATCCCTTTCAAAGCACCAATGTCCTGTGGCAAGACATTGAAGGCATTGTTTGACAATGTTTCCAGTTTTACAAATATGAGATACAATGTACATGGCCCTACATGTTATCAGTGTCTGTGATATGGTGTAATATTGAAGCCCTAAAAAAATTGTATTTAAAAATGATCATAAAGTGCTTCAAATAAGTAGAAATCTTTGAGTGACCAGTTTTACCATACTCATTATCCCTAATAGACTGTAGTGTTATAAAAACTGGTTTTTGAAATTCTAATTCAAACCATATATATCTTGATAATCAGACAGGCGACCGGCTTGTAAAGGTCATGGGATTCCTGACTGACCTAAAGCTAAAGGTTTATGAGCTAAATCCAGGATTTTTTGTAGAATCTGAGGCAAATTAATAGATACCCAATACCTTTAACTACTTGTGACTCTAATTGAGTACCAGGTAGGAAGAAATTCCTTGAATGTTTCAAGGCACACTGGCTAAAGCTGGGTTAAATACCTGTAAATTTAACATTTCTTTTCTTTTCCTTCGTTACTTTTGTTTCTCTTGATTGTAGGAGTTGAGGGTACGAGAAGGATTGTTAAACTTCAACCCGACAGAGGAACCAGTCAGCAGAGAACTATTATCAGAAAAATTCACAGTCCTGGTAAGTAATATCTGTTGAATGGGAATCAGAAACGAGCAAGAATCAAATAGAGAAGACTAGAAAGGAATATGAGGGAAGACTTCATGATTGTTCAAGATATCCTTTGAAAGTATTGATATTAAAGACGTTCATGGGTGGGTATATAGTGGTTCGTGAAGTAGGCATCTTGGCGATCACTACATAACACTGGGCCAACAAGTATTTACGCTCCTGTGCGTACGTCCGTCTGCTGCCCTCTATATTCCCATGCATGAGCAACTTGAATAGGAATTTAAGACAACACTTTTTAGTGACAAATCTTGTGGTACCAGTCTTAAAATACTGTTCCAAACTGCTTTCCAGGAAATGAATTAGCTATGTACAATGATCAGGAAGAAGGATGTTAGGGTTTTAGACCTTTTTTTGAGAAAAACCTCTAGAAATAACCACGTTCTGAAACTGATACAACTAAGTTTAGAAGCTCATTCAGAGAATTTTGAAATATATCTCATGAAATGGAAGTGCGTCATGGTTTTACACCTTTTTTTGAGATAAATCTCTCAAAATAACCACATTCTAAATCTGATACAAATAAGTTTAGAAGCTCATTCTCAGAATTTTAAAAATATTTCCCAATAAATGGAAGTGTGCTAATGTTGGCCTTTTTTAATAGTTGATACAAGGATACTGTATGTCATCAAAAACACATACTGTAAATATACAAGTATGTGTGTAACTTCCGAATCTTACATAAACCTGTACCGTATTTTACAAATTATGTAACATTTATTGAAAATGGTAATAATTTCATTTGATCCACTTGACACATTTTCCATTGCTCTTGGTAAATCTTCTGTATCGGACATTGCAAAGCTCCCAAATCCTTATCCATTTCCTCAAATTGGCAGTGATAGGAAGAACCTGTGCATCATTATTTTAGGATGAACAAAAATGTGATAAGACATTTGTTATATCGACAGAATTTGATTGTTTTAAATTCTTTTGATCAGGAAGATGATGGTGAATATTATGAAGCAATTAGAAAAGCTTTCCATTTTAAAATTTTGAATTAAACAAAAATACTGCAGAAGCTTATATTTGTATGTCTTCTGTGCGTATATATAATGTATAATAAGACATATTTATGATGATCAATTAAAGGATGTGATGTAGGCTAGATTCACTTTCAATTCTACTTTTTCTATTGAATATTGTATTGGCTGTCAACCATTACCTTATTTAAACTAATGTTACACTTTAATTGGCAGAAACTTGCAAGTAGCTAGTTTTAAAAAGGCAGTTTTACCTGTCAAATATAGTTTCATACCATTTTCAAAACATGCAAATATATTGGTACAGTAATGAACTAAAAAGATTAAGAACCCTCATGTAATAATTGAGAGTTCGTAAAAGTACTCTTGTACTAAAGTAATGTTCCACTTTAATTGGCAGAAACTTCCAATTAGTTAGTTTTAAAAAGGCAATTTTTACCCGTTAAGTATAGTTTCATACCATTTTCAAAACATGCAAATATACTGGTAGTCTGGTACAATATAGATCTAAGAAGTTAAGAACCCTCATGTAATAATTCAAACTAAAGTAATGTTACATTTTAATTGGCAGAAACTGATAATTAGTTTTAAAAAGGCAGTTTTTACACGTCAAATGTAGTTTCATACCATTTTCAAAACATGCAAATATACTGGTACATTATAGTACTAAGAAGTTAATAAAATAATAATAATAGCTAGTTCTTGTAAAGTGCTTTTCAGGACCGAAGGCCCTCTCAAAGCACTTTACAGATATATGTATTTTTTACCTTGGTTAAGAACCCTCATGTAATATTCAGAGTCCTTAAAAGTACTTTTGAAAACATGTTAAGGATGATGTGAAACTCCACTCATGCACACATGAATGTGAGTCATGTGGTATTGAGGGTGTCATGAAGTTGTAGGATAAAATTGGAGGTAATTTTCACATACTTCCTTGTATGTTAGACAGGAAAGCATTCGTTGTAAGACGGTTAAATCCGATTAGAGACACCCGCCTCTGGTTATTAAGAGCTGGACGGCATGGTGTTGTTGGAAGGTCCTTTGAATCTTAAAGGTAGCATTGATTGGGTTATGAAGTTTAAATTATTCCTTAAAATTGACATTTTAAGGTTGACGACAATGATATTCTGATTCTTTTTTTCTCAAAGGCTTTGTTGGTATATTTCAAGACATCTGTAAAGAATGAATCAAAGCAGAAACATTTCTTTAGACTTTCAGGTTTAATATGCCACTCTGTAGTTTCATAGATTCCCTCATCTTTATATCATACTTGTACAGCATGCACAATACACATATGATCATTTCATATATCATTAATAAAGTTAATAAAATTAATGAAATTACTGATTAGTTGTTAGTTTCTAAATCTGTCATGCAATTATACCTCATACATACTTGTACATTTAGTTGCAACACTTTGCATCCTCTAAGAGGATATTAGTCATTGAAGCCCCCTGTAGGTACAGTGTATTGACACTTACATTTGTAATCATATGCATATTCATATGCAGTGTGATTGTCAGAGGGAAGTTTACATCATGAGCCACCAAAGTACAAGGCCAGCTCATATGTAAAAAGTCTTGAGTTTCAAGGCCCAGTACAAGACCAGGCCTGGCCCAATCACCAAACCAGACCAATTCCAGACTCGGTAATAGACCCAACAGCCTAACCGCAGATGGAGATCGGTCCTGTATTGTAGAGGGGATTTCATTCATAAGGACCTCTAGCGTTTTTAAGTGGAAAGTCTTGTTGTTGTTTAAAAGTGGAATATGCACGTCGCGTATTACCGCTAGCCGGAAACACCAAATAGGATTCCTGCCGACACATGTCATGATAAGTTTGAACTTGAAGAGCAATAATCAATGTATCGTTTCGTTCATTTTCTGACCAAATATGGTGTATTTGTGCAAAGTTATGTTGCTTCAAAGAAGGGTTCTTGAAGAAATAAAAGATTTTGCATGCCCTCAAACTATGCTGGATCCTGACCCATATTAAACATGGATTAAATAAATGTTATGTGCACTGAAAGCCAATATTGTGGCGCAAATTTTGACATCAAATTTATTTGGGCCCAAAAATAAAACTATATGTAAAAAATTGAATTGTTTTCAAAGTTTTTATCTTTCTAGAAAAAACATTTTTATTGTGGAAATTGAATTATTTATAGGATTTGTATAATGAATATTCTTAAATATTAAGTAACTCCAGATATTTACTATGATCTTGCAAAAAAAACAGAGCGTATCGTCGTTTGAAAATGTGCCTTCTTGGAGAGCTCTACAGTACGGGTCAAACCGGTCCGAGTACGTCGTATTAATGAAATAGACGTGTTTTTTCACGCCTGCCGATAGGCTGCCAATACCAGGTCCAATATTAAACTAATTTTGTCTACAGGCCTTATACATCAGTCACACTGCCAAACCGACTCCAGACTAAGGCTGTGAAGGGTAGTCGAATGCTCGAGTACCCGCACGGTTGACAACTACTCGGGTACGATTTCTCGTACCCGAATATTCGGCCGCAAAAAAAAAAAAAAAAAAAAAAAAAAATTTAAATGTCCAGGCCGACGCTTACCCGTGCCTGGGTGAGCGGCGGCCGCTGGCATGGTGCCGTCGGTAAAAATGTTTCCCAACTCGAGCACTGTCAAACTCACCACTCAGAAACTGGGACCAAATGTCTGGATTTCTGCTTGGACTTGGAGGACAATGGATTATTCTGCCATCTTTGGTTTTTAAAACAGCATTGTTCACTGTTATTATTATTATTCAATCGGCGCCTTCAACTGCAACTCAAAGTAAAATTGTATGCCTTTTCGGCGACAGAACTGGGATACTGCTCCAGTGGTATGTATGGTGGTGGCAAAAAAAAAAAAAAAAAAAAAAAAAAAAAAAAATCAAATTTAAAAAAAAAAAAAACATGGCGTCCGAATACTCGAGTATTCGCCTGTAAGCATGGGAGTGTACTCGGGTACCCCATTACACTGTTGTGCACAGCCTTAACTTACTCCAGACCACCTCGAAACTGATCGACTTTTTACCATTTAATAGGGGCAATGTAATTGTTTGATCGGCCTGGTGTCGGTCTGGTGTTGGGCTGGTATTGGGCTGGTGTTGGATTCTTTAGGTGTGACTGAGATGTACATGTAATACAAGATGTCTGTCCAGTTGCAAGGTCTAATATCAAACTGCTTTCTAGTCCTAACAACATACATGTACACAGTACCAGAGACAAATCAGACCCTTTCTCAGACACAAAACCAAACACAGTACTTGGTCTATTAAACATCAGTAAACATACGCAATAAAATGATTACTACACTAGATCTACATCAAGCCTGATACCAGATTGAACAACACACTCCTTACCCAATACTGTAGGCCATTTCCGTAATCTGATCAAATTTAATGCAAAAACCTTTGTTAAGTGCCCTGTTACAAATTGTTTTATTCACCTGTTACAAATAATTGTATTTCAATAGTCAGAATGTGAACTACATGTGCATACACTTCTTGTTGTTAGGTAGACCAAGCCATACTAAAACATGGTACATTTTCTAATATTTGATTTCAAAAGAAAGTGAACCATGTTTCATGTTGCTTGGTACAATTTCTTTTGGAAAAAAAAGGAAATTGAGATACAGTCTCGATTTTTATACAATTTGTTGACATGTGATTGGTATACTAGCCATTGATATGATGCTTGATTCTCAAGATGCATAATTCTGATATTCTGTTTTATTCAGCCATTCCGAGATGCTGGCGGTGCGGCCATAGCTCTCTTCTCAGCCCGCTACCACGCCCCACACTCAACACCCACCCAGGCAGTACTCCAAGCTGCTGTGTTTCAACTCGACCAGGCTCTTAGCAGGTATGCACAAACAGACAGGGTTTGAAAAAGTTTTTTAAAAAGGGTTTGAAAGAGAAAAAGAAGGGGTTTGAAAGAGAAAAAGTAGGGGTTCGAAAGAGAAAAAATAAGGGTTCGAAAGAGAAAAAGAAAGGGTTTTTAAAGAGAAACAGAAGGGGTTTAATATTTAAAGAGTGAACTTAGGCTTGCTATCTTTTTTCACAGGTATGCACAACCAGAAGGGGTTTGAAAGAGAAAAAGACGAGATGGAAGAGTGAAATTATGCTTTGCTACTTTTTTTCTCAACATTGCGACAGAAATCTCACACGAGATGGAGAAGAAGATGTTAGAATAGAACAGAAATCCATGTCAATTCTGAGCACAGTGAAATGCTGCCCTCTCTTGGTTGGAGGGGAGTAACTGTTAATACATGATTTCCAGCCTGAGCTATGCCCTCACCTGAATAAATATATGCCAGGACGATAGGAATGTAGTTTTCAGGAAAAGGCATGTTGTTTTTGTTGATGTTGGCAACTCGACTCTATTATCAAAAGCCTGTTTGTTTAAAAAATCACTGAGAAAGAAACTGATGAAGCAGGAGTACTAGTATTATGTTGAACCATATTCTGATTTTATTGGAAGGGATTGAAGTCTTACAACTCAACCCAGGGAAAAGCTGGGATCCATGTCGACATTGAGCAAGTTGATATACTGCCCTCTAGTGATTGCTAGGATATAGGATTTTACTCAGGCTCCTAGTATACACTTTAAAGTTTATAAAATGCAGGAAAGTGTTGCTTTTGAAGATTTTGTTTTTCTCTTCCTTTTTACAGAACATGCATTAAAGATATTTCTTATTATTTTATTACACTTACGGCTAAGATTTTTTTTCTTCCCGGTCTTATTCCCTTCTTTGCTTGTTCATGGCAGGTTTTCTTGTACTTTTACTTCAGACAATAGTCAACATACTTTACATTGGTATGTAATCTGTAATTCTTCCTGGTTTTAGGTTCAAGAGGTGCATGACTACATGTACACATATAATACTCATACAGTATATCTTGAGACGTTGTACAATGTATATAACGTCTAGGATATGGTTGCCTCATATATTGTCACATCCACGTATTTAAGCTTTCGGCAAATTCATCACAGGATATTGTTTGCTGGTTAAATCTATACAGATCACTACACAGGTCATATGATAGAAAATATCTGCACATGTTGAAAATTGTGAGAAAGCATGATCATATATTGTTCATTTTCATATGAACAGTACTTTGCACTGTTACTCTAATTTTAAGTCAGGAAATACAATAATAATTAATTAATCTTCATGATTATCTGCAAATCCTTCATATTTAGAACACATGTATTTTTCACTGGTTTTCAAAGTGTAGTAGTCTACTATCTACATGTAAATTACACTGAATTTGACTGAAACTTACTTGATAAATAATTGTTGTTTGTTTTGCAATACAGGTTTTTATTTGCACACATGTAGGCTATGATGTATGAGGCCCCATTTGTAAACTTATTATTTACCTCAATTATTTATATATAATTTACTTTTTACCAAGTCATATAACAATTTATATATAATACAATAAAAAGTGTATAATTATTCATAAATAATGAAACCATAATATCCATTATATATAAATAATGATTTCATGAAATCCAAATTGTATACAAATAATAATTTCAACATAATTATTTATAAATGATGATAACACAATGTTAGTTATTTATAAACAATGAATTGCATATTTTTTATTATTTGTAGATAATGATTTCAAAATATCCATTATGTAATGATTAAACAATATGGATTCACTAAATTCACTTTTCACGATTTTATAATACATGATATTCAATTTATTATTTGTAAATCATTTTACAACAGTCTGCAATTATTAACAAACTCATCAAATCAAGAATAACTGTAAATGTGGAAATATTTGCGGTACATTAATTTTAAGGGTCCTAAACATGTTTGAGATTATATATTATTAGGGAAATAATGTGTCGTAATGATCTATCATGAAGTGGTGAGGAGCTCACTGTTCTTCCATGATATCCATTTCACCTGACACATTTACATGTACAAATCTACCGCATCTCTACTTTCACTCAGGCACCCTTGATAGAGCACTGTACAAATATATGATCCGTCAGTTAAATCACCTGTCGGTACTAACTTTGGAATACTGAGGATTCGGGTCAAGTGTATCCTCCATCTTGTCTTGAACTTTTTCCTTTGAGTCCATGTACTAAACTTACCCATCTTTGAGCAGAGATCATTGTGTCAAAAAAGAGCTTTTATAACGCAGTCATTTGCTGACTTGGAAGGGATTCAGCATCTTGTATGCTCTATGTAGCGACATTGAAAGATATCGATAGAGTTAAAGTTAGAGTAGTGATTTTTTTTTAAGGTTAGGTTTGGGGAGGGTTAGTGTTTAGGGGTATATTGTTGGTTTTAGGGTTGAATATAGGAATTTGGTTAATGTAGGAAACTCTCCAGTGAGCAAATGTTGCTGAAGCATTACTCATAGAACCTTGAATGAGGGTTGCCAGATTTAGTGAAGGATAAATCTTTTTTTTTTCTTTATTACTTTCTTTTCTTTAAAAAAAATTAAATTTTACTTCAATTCACCGACTATTCAGATGTTACTTTGATGTACAAATATTTTCCACTCTTTGCCTGCACTTGTAAGAAGAAAATGTATACTATTCCATCATCACACTTAGAAAGAAAACCCCCCCAAACCCAGACCAATAATGACATTTCTTTTATGCAATGGATAAGGAAAAAACATGCAGCAACAGGACATGAAGCACCAGAGTATTTCCCAATAAAATAATAATGCTTGACTACAAGAGCTTGTGTACATTCCAAACAAAATAGGATCTTCAAAATCAATTTTATCTGGGAGGTAATGTACTTTTATGTTTTTTTATTGGATGTCTTTGCTCCATAATGGTAACACATATCCTAGCATGTTTTTACATTTGTCAAATGAAAATGTTATCTGATTAGAGTTCCTTCTTGGAAATGCTTATTTGAACATTGCGGTAATCAAATAAATGACTGAAATTTAATTAGAGTTAACCACTTCAGGGAAATGTAAATGAATGAAAATTAAATTGTCTGCCTTTCAATTATTTCTGTAAAAAATGAACCATCTCATATCGGATGATCAAAGCTCCTTTGATGCAGGACTCATTAAGAATGCATAGTGCATTTCCCAAAATTAATATGATGTTGGGATAATTTACCGGCAAATTACTATGATTTGGTTTATACTCTAGTTAGGAATATACATGTATTAAGATGAATGAATGTGCTGATTAATATGATTTGCGTTCAATATTTTGAAAGCACTTGGATAAAGTGTATAGAGGGTGAATGCCCTACTCTTTATAATATATGATGTGTCTAGATTCAAAGCTCAGCCACAACTCTGCATTTTTTTCTATCTCCTACTCTGTACCATAGCGAGAAATGGGGACCAGATAGGAAATAATGAAGAAAAATTTCTTTTATCATTTACTAAAAGCCAGAAGGACACTAACTCTTATCAATTTACTTGGAGGTAGAGGTAACGACCTTCTGGCGCTCAGATAATGATATGCCCTCACTGTAATCATAATTATCCAGGCTTTGAAGATGGTGCATATTGTGACAGGCATTAAACAATAGATTCGTTTACAAACGTATTAAAATTTATAGACGTTTCATTCTTGGGGACCCAGTGACGAGGTTTTCCATTAACCAGTCATTATTGAACTACAATACTCAATTTAATAATTGTTGCTATGTTGGGCAATCCTCAGACAAGTTTTCATGATGTCAAGAATAACTTGTGTTTAATAAGTATGCATAGAATTTGAATATGTTAGTGAATCGGTCTATTGCCTTGTGATATCCGATACTTAATCTTAATAATCCCTTATTATCAAGGAAATTGAATCAAATCCATATTTTTCCTATCAGTAGCCCCTCCCCCACCCCTCCTGCACCCCTCCGGCACCCCTCCCACACCCTCTTTCAAGCACATTGGTTGTCCCTTTGAAGATAGGACCGTCATAAACAAGTTGTATGAATCAGTCGCTTATTCTGCGGTCAGGAAATCAAGAAAACCAACTATTGAGTTTGATGGGTGATTCATTTGTTTTTCATGCTTCAGAATTATGGATCATCATAAGTTCATTTTGACAGCCAATGCAGCTGCCCTTCACTGCACCGTACTGGTGATCTAAGGGGAGGGGGAGGGGTATATAACTGCCCCATGCCCCCCTGTTTGAAGGCAATCTGGTGCTATACCTTCAGTACACAAACAGTGAAATCTGGCCCTCTAATTGTTTTATTTTGCCCCCTTTTTGTAATGGATCCTTGATATGCCCCTGCTACATAATATTACCTTGACCATGTGCCAAATGAAGAAAAAAAAGTTGGCTGTCATAATTTTTTTTAATATCTTCAATTTTTTCCAACAATTTTTAAAGAAAAATTGATAAAGAGAGAAGTAATTACCCTCTTTGCAAGTGTGTGTTTCGCAGCTTATGAAAATGTTAATGTATCCTCTCATCTCCATACAAGAGTGATCTTATTAATAAATGATCACATGAGACCTTGTATGACTTTGTTATTATTACCAGGTTTTTTAAGGCCATCGTAACTTTTCTCCCTAAACCTGATTACCCACGATTAGTTGCAATCCTTACTGACCTTGTACGACCCTATTGTTACTCACATCCCCTGCCTGCCTGCCATAGCATGGACTGGCGCAACAGTCAGATGCATGAATCATGGTTTTGTGTGGCAAGTATCGTCCTGACTGCGTGCCGCTCCCTGGACATCAATCTCGTAAGATTGAAACTACTAGATTACACAACCCACATTGAATGAGTAAACAAGTAAAATGTTCACTGAAATCTCAGCCCCCTTCCCCCGCCCCCTTCCCCCGCCCCCTGCCCCCGCCCCCTGCCCCCGCCCCCTGCCCCCGCCCCTGCCCCTCCTCCTGAATGAGAAGAGGTCATTATGAGTGTTTGGCAGTCTTAAAAAATAATATTAATAAAGAAAAAGAAAATATGTCTTAACTTGATCGACCAAGGTGTAGCAAGAAGCTATGGTAATCGCATAGCTCAGAGATCTACCCTCATTTGAATAAAAACAAAGACACTTCAGTTTAATTCCTTAACATTTCTTTTCAACATACATTAGAAATTAATTTTCAACCAAAATGTACATTTAGCAATATTCTAATCATGCAATTTCAGAACAGGCTCAACAAATGGGTACTTGATGGTTTTGCTCAGACCAGAATATGTATAACTTGACAAATATATACTTGGAAGTCACAACACCATTTGGAACAGTCTGATCTCATTTGATTCATAAAACCTGTTTCTTCACTTATAGAGTGAAATACCCCAAGGAAGCAGGAATTATTCATGACGGTTTCATATTCAGGAGTGAGTGGGTGGCTGCACGCTGGCAAACCACACTTCAACCCTTGCTTGGGATAACGTGGAAATGTGGACAATTTCAAAGTTGACCGTGGGGGTTGCAGATGCCATTTTCATTATCCTAACATCTACATGTATATTTTATTGATTTTGTATGAATGATATAGTGTCATGAACTCAAGGGAGGGAGGTGAGAGGGGAGGGGGGGGGGGGGGGGGGGGCAGATAGATGGAAACTAAAGTATTTATAAATGCCATAGTCAATGACCTAAAAGGAATCAAGTAAACATGTATATTAATTTCAAGTGAAATGATCGAGTAAGTATTGAGTTGCTTATATTTACTACCTCAAGTATTTCATCATACTTAAAGCAAATATATATCCTGTCGTTTTATATACTCTCCTTTTCTTTCATCGTCTTTATCTGTTCAGTTACGAGACGCAGAGGAACGGGTTAACATGGATCTACAACATGACGGGATCCTCTTTCACGAACTTTGACCTGACCATGAGCAAGAAGCTACTGGGCATGCTCAGAGACGGGTACCCAGCACGGCTGAAGCGCATCTACGTCGTTACACCCCCTCTATGGTTCAAAGCCATGTATAAGATCCTCACACCAATGCTGAAGGAGAAGATGAAAGAAAGAGTAAGTCTGGATTTTAAAAATATTTTTTTGATTAAAAAAGAAGAAGAATGATTACTTTGCTGATTATCATATCATATATCATATATATATATGTGGTGGTAATTTACCTGGCTGCTAAGAAAGCGTAACTGCTTAGTAAGCAACCAGAGGACCGACGACTTTAGGTCCTCTCCGAGGGACCTGGTAATGAGGATTAATGCCTTACCAAAGGGCACTAGCACATCGACTGGTTTTGTACCCGGGTCACAGGATTACGAGACCACTGCTCTACTAACTGAGCTATTGCGCCTCCTCTGTTATGAAAAATATCCACTTAAAAGTACTTCACATTTGAAATTAATAATGCAGAATGTTTTCCTTGGGTACTTGTGTCTCTACACTACGATTGATGCTGATAAGAGCACTCTTATTTTGTGAGTGTTAATGAGTTGTTTCGTAATCAAGGAGCAGGATTCCCAAAGCTGTCATTATCTAACTGTTACAAAATTACTCTTCAAATGTAGATGATACTCCAGGAAATAGAAAATGGCATCATTAAGTTACGAAATACAAACTAGACCTTGCGGTTTGTAAGAGCAAGTCTGTGGATTGTTATGAAATGTGATGAAGGAAGATGACGTTAATTAGATAGAACAGGATGTATGTGGCAGAAGAGATGGGGCTTGAGAGTGCAAGAAACCTGGATGTGACATTTTCAAAATTCCTCTCTCAAGATGCTCGTCGTCGGGTCAGGTGAACGTGATGTAAGTTCTTCACTGAGCAGCTGGCATTGGATTGAACTTTATTTCTTTCTTTCTTTCAGAGATTGTTTCAGTTTCTGTCGATGGATTTTGTAACTTTTCCTTTTGTGTCGTAAAGGAAATCTGGATAGAAATCATCCTTTTCTCTGAACTCCTTTTCTCCTTAGTTCCTGATTCTTTTGTTTTTTGGAAATCTTATTTTCCAGTAAAAACAACATTTCATATGCTTTGGCATGGATTGTGTCCGATATTTCAGTGTGTTTGTTTTCTTGCCGAAGGCCCATTAAAAACAAAAAACAAAATTTCTCAGTTTGTATTACCTTCCTTCATCACCCTTTTTCCTGCTATTATCCTTGTTTAGTTTTGCACACTGACAACACTGGCTAATTTTAGATCATTGCTGCAGTATGAAAGGAAATGCTATATCTGATTGATCAGTTCCTGGCTGAGATTATCATCTCGCATTTCCAGGATTCTTAGAATTATTGCAAGACACAACAGCAACTGTTTTCTCTGTGATTTGTCTTTATGTCTCTTTCTTTCTCTCTCCCAGTCTCTCTTCCATCTCCCCCTGTTTCTCCCCCTCTCTTATTTTCCACTGTGCCTTTAAAAGATGGTGGCCATTCCAAAAATAAAAAATGATGGCCCTACTTTGCCCCCTCTATTTTTGGTTTGTCGTGATCTCTCCTCGAAAACCTTTCATAATGTTGAATTTGAGTAAAAAAAATAACCACAAACAAACACTCTAGTTCTCTCTTTCCCTCTCTCTCTCTCTCTCTCTCTATCTATCTGTCTCTCTCTATTTGTCTCTGTCTCTATCTCTCTCCCTCCCTCTCTCTCTCTCTCTCTCTCTCTATCGTCTCTCTCTCTCTCTATCATCTCTCTCTCTCTCTGTATCTGTCTCTTTCTCTCTGTCTCTGTTTCTGTTTCTCTTTCTCTTTTAGCTGTCTTCATTTCTGGAGCATTGTCTCATTCATCACTTATCTCTATACTATATATACACGCTCTCTTTGTATCGTTTTGTTCTCTGTCTAACCGTCTCATTCTTCAAGCCTGAGCACAAAGATCTATATGTGGGACTGCAGTGATAATGGGTCACATGAATGTGTCCTCTCTGCATGTAGCAATACGTGCCGATACGTCAGCGTGCATCCGACCACAGCTACATCCATGGCAGTGCTAGAGGATTAGACTAGAGCGGAATGTGGTGCCTTGCTTACGCACATTGAAACTGACCCATTAGGAATCCCGCTTCTTAAAGGTGTGATTCTTCTGGGAAGTCGTTCGATACCACAGCATGCCAGGGATAGCTGGTGATGTATGCAAGCTTCCCTCCTTTTGTTTGCGGTTTGCGCACTTGCACAGAAAAGTCAGGCCATTACGTCAGAAATGCCGCAGGGACCACTACTTGTTTCGAGTGATTTCCCGCATCGCTGAAATCGCATGTACATGATGATTATATCTACTTTTTTATGAATAAAGATGTTATCGCATTGTCAGAATTGAAATTCCAAGATTTATTAACTGTTTGTGAATTTTTCTTGCGTGAGGAGTACCTCCCCAGATAATAAATCTTCACAAAGAAATTGTTCAAAAGGAGCTTTCTATGTGCTCATCTCTGGAGTATCTAAGGGTATTTGCTATATATGTGTACCTTAAAAGAAAACTGATGTCTCTGCCAATATGACACATACAGTAAATGTAGAAAAATGCATTTGATCAATTTTTAATCTCACTCAAAGCAAACATTTCATTTGAAGATTATGATACCAACCAAGCCTGTGCAGCTTAAATCTTGTCACATCTTTTCCCACTGGTTAAAACTGATCAATCTGTTTTTCATTTTCAATGTTTTCAAAATCACATACCGGTACTCTCTTCGCTCATATCAAGTACATTGTATACATGTGGCAAATACCTGAATCTCTATGTTGATCAGATGAGATGATATGAGGGACTTTCCCTTTAAAGTGAGATGAAGCAATGTAACAGACCATCTCGTACTTATCCTAGTCCCTCTATCATAAGATGAGAATGGTCCATGTCAGGATGGTCTTCATCAGCTGTGCCTTGCCTGTACAATGCCTCTCTCTCTCTCCTGCATTGCTTCAAGCTCTGTATGCTAATTAAACTCAGCAGCTGTTAATTGAATTAAAACATCATTAGGTTCCGAGAATCCGGACCATTTATTGCATTCATTAGTGAAGTTTGGATTTGGAGAGTGGTATGTATTCTTGAAGGTGCTGTTGATATCGTATATGGTGTTTTCGTTCTGAGTGTTTTTGGATCTACATCTATGTGGAGTTTGATGCGAAGGATAGATATGAGGGAAATGTTGAAAGCAACATTGTGTATAATTGCACCTGTCATGGATGCTGGCTTTTAAACTTCCACTATGTGAGCATGCATATGTACATATCTACATGTGCATGTACATGCATTAAACAGTGTACTACTCACTTTAGATGGAGTCGGTTGAATTGGTTTTATATCCATTTGTCCTGTACTTTGAAGGAAGATATATCGTCTGTTTGGAGCCAGAAGGGTGTTAAGTCATATACTTTAACACAGAGTAAATGCCTTCTGGCACTGGAACAGATGATTTTATGTTCAGGACAATTTATTTCAAAGTACTTTTCAAAGGTTTTATTGATGCTGTATAAATAAATGTTGGTATTGAAAACTTAGGAAAACAATTTAGATGTAATGAGTTAACGACATTGTTGGACTTTGTACAATGCTTTTATGTCAGTCATGTGCTGTTAGATATTTCTGCACTGTTTGTACATCGGAGGTTTAATGCTGTAAAATATTTATATGCAATTCTCAGAATTGCTTATTCTTGGAAGAGAGGAAGGTGTAAATATCATAGCTCAGCTAAAACAGGTACACGGCGATGACATAATTATATTATCCAAAAGTATTCAGCACTTTGTGTCCTGATCAGGAAAAGGCACTTTCTTAATCCATAAGCTTGTATTAAAATGTTATTATTCCGGACATTATGACAAAGCTTATTTTGAACCTGTTGAAGGAAAGAAGAGATATCATTCAAAGAATATGATTATAGCAGCTGTTCTTTGATTCATGCGCAAGGTGCAGATCCGTGGCTGAATATAGCTCAAGTGATGAGAAAGAGCTATTTCCAGAAAAGAGCTTAACTGCCGTTACGTGTACATCTGCCTGTCTGCTTTGTTGATGAGTATAACCATATATCTGACGTGTATGAGTGTATATTTGATTCATTGTTTGGTTTTCAGGTGAGAGCTATTAAAGTCCATCACAAGTTCATCACTAGTCCGCATCTTTTTATAGAAGAGACTTTTAATAATAGTTTCATGAAAGTTATGATTCATGTAGTAATTGTTGATTTTTTGACCAATTTATAGATCAGCTCCTGGAAATTGCAGGAAGATGTAAAATTATGATTTCTCTGTGGCATTTCGCTGGTTACGTCTGGCTTCAGGCCGTTTGATACCATCTTGGGACTCTGTGTTTTGTTCAGATCACCGATCTGTGAAAGGGGCATGTGAACTTTCACTTAATATTAAAGAAAGCCATGTTGTTGCCACATGAACGTGCCTTGCAAATAGCATTAACTTATGCACAGAAAGAGAATGTACATACAATACAGGTCTAGCTCTAGGAGTATGCCTTTAATCTTTCTGTGACATCATCTACATGTATATTTACTTGTACACAATACATTTTGCTTGTACTTTATCTGAATAGTTAATAAGTGATATGTTGTAATTTCTCTCTAACATTTCTTTTACCCTTTCCGCGCAAACCATAAACCAAATAAAGAAGAAAGTGGCAAAATTTATGTTTCTTTACCCTTTCTGCAAAAAATAAAAAATAAAATAAGAAGAAAGAGTGACCCAAATTTATATTTGCATCCTTTTGCAGCGCATAGGAAGATAAGATGTAAGATGTAGAATTAAGATGCCTTACGTTGCTTGAACTCCTCGGTCGTATTTCCTCATGAGTAAGATACAAGTGGGCATGCAGGGAGATTGCGAGTGATCAGGGCATTTCCTATTGTGCTGTTGAGAGAATCCTGCTTCATATTTACCCCGGTGACTCAATGTTTGAGCTACGATTACTCAACCAATTAAATGCTCATAATACCAGAATACTGTGCTATTTAGTTGATCTTATTTTTGGTATATTGGAGGACCATGTGTACATGTATGTATTGTGCTTAGATAGTGGATTCCTATTTGAATCCTACATGTATGTTTAGCAAATTTTAGAAAT